CTGGCAGTAACTTCCACAGAGAGTTTAAAAGAGGGACGTAGTCTCCCTCACGTAGTTACTAAAGTCTAAAGTATTAAACTTGGACCTGAGCATTTCCAACTCATGGACGTGTAATTGATAGTTGATGATGAGCATTTCCTGGATGAGGTTTGCCATTCTAGGAGTCTGATATTTACTGTCTGACTCCTGGTATGAGGGAGAATGTAGGTCTAATGCACTTTACATCAGCTTTATGTAAACACAGTTTTTGAGCTTGTTTGCTTTTATTTTGATTAGATGGTGGAAAGAAGACAGGAAACTGGGAGATGCCCAGGGGCAAAACGTACAGTAAAAGGCTTGAATATGGGCCTCTCCATTAGCCTTGTGGCATCTACTCAACCCAACAAACTATAGTGGCTCCCTTTTTAACCCGATGTCCCAACCTTCTGCGTAACCTGAGAAATGTAACGGCACGTTGGGTCAATATCACAATGACTTGAATGCCGTGGACAGGTGTGGTGTAGGGGTAAAAGGAGTTCCTGGTTACTATGGAAGTTAGGCTAGGTTACGTAGTTTGGTGGAAAAAGGCTAAATTTAGGCATTTACATTTAATTTCAGACACATTATTCTGAAAATTCACCTGTTCAGCATTTCTTTGCACAACGATACTCAGCACAATCCACATTTAATGAAGACAAGTTGCGTGCAGTAAGGGTGAAGCCCCTTACTTCACTTAACAATGACCGCCGCTCCTCTCACGTCCTTGTTTAGCACCTAATCATTCTGTAGCTGATTTCCTTTCCGTACTGGAATCGGCTCAAGTGATCGTTCATCTTATTTGATGCAGCTGTTGAGGCCTCTGTGCCTACATGTGAGGAAGTGTTGTTTGAAGTCTGAGTCTCTCCTTTGATGGGTCACTTAAAGACAGAAGGAAAGTGATGTTTGATTGGTGAGCACGATAGGTGATATCATGGTCAGGTTTTTGGCTAAAGACGTTTTAGTGTGTGTGTGTGTGTGTGTGTATAAACAGACTGACAGATCTGAAACACTGTGCAGAGTGACCATAAATCTAAGTGTAAACAGACCTCCCAACACACACGCACATTCGCGGTATATCAGTGAATCAAGTTGACACATGAACTTGTTCTGTTTGAGTGTTGTTCTTTGTTCATGTTGCCCTTTGTGTACAGTCTGTTTGAGTGTGTGTCCATGGCTACCATCAGCTGTACCAGCACACACACACACACATATGAGGGTTTGACGGTGGCAGCAGGAAAATGTGGGTTATGGTTCTCATTCAGTAGCACTCGAGTCGGCACAGTCAGTACGAACGAGGTGAGGCTAATTAATGAGGTTCAGATTGAAATCTGTTTTCAAAGGCAGCTTCTGTGCAACTGAACCAAACTGCAACCAAATACTTTTCAAATATATAAATGTATTTCTAATTTGTAGTTAATATCATAACTGCTGAAATTTGTAATTTTTTTCTTGAAGGTTTAACTAAAATTGAACTTTCACCTTACTATAAAAACCCTTATTGAGTCTTTTGATTTTAGTGTTACCTCGATGACTGAGTTGCAGTAGCAATACCTTCACTCAGCATCACCTCATGTTGCTTTAAACTACAAGGTAAAGACTGCTGTGGAAGAGAGCCAGAGATTAATAACAACTAATGGTTATATAGGGCTTTATAAGACAGCCTGATAATAATAAATTCCAATAGTTTAGCCTAGAAGTACTAAATGCATGCACTAGTTTTTCAGCATCACTTTGAGACAGGATGTCATTGCACAAATGCGAGCAGCAGTCCTACATGTTTGTTTAACACATCCTGATCAAACACATAATGACACCCAGAGTAAGAATCTGGTTAGAATCTGTATTTCTAGGATTTTTAGGCCAAACTACAATAACCTCATTTTTATCTGAATTTAGAAGCAGAAAATTAGAGGTCGTTCAGGTTTTTATGTCTTCAAGACGTTTATGCAGTTTAACTAACTGATGTGTGTTATCTGGCTTCATGGATAGATTGAGCGGGGTATCATCCGCATAGAAATGAAAATGTATCCTATGCCTTCTAATGACACTGACGAAGGGAAACGTCTATAACAGCGGTCCCCAACCCCCGGGCCACGGACAAGTTTGGTACCGGGTGTGAAATTGATGGATTTCAGGGTTTTTAGCGTTAATTTGGTTTCCCTGGGTATTTTCCCATGTTGTAGTTGTGTGTCTTATTTTGAAAGAAATGTTTACACGTTACCATAACGACCAGAGAGCATTAAGGGGCAGAGAGGAGGACGTTACTCTCGATGTTGTTGGGGCATTTCAGGAGGATGCTGCTAATAAAGTTACACAGTGAATTCATGTTTATTATATTTACAAAATACAAGTTTTTGCCTTTGTCGTATCATTTTATTTAGTTGTATTTATCTTTGACACCTTAAAAGTGCAAAAAAGGTTGGAGACCACTGGTCTATACTATATATAGAATTGGTCCTAGCATGGAACCCTGTGGACTCCATAATTAACTTCAGTGTGTGGAAAGGACTCTCCATTTACATGCACAAATTGGAGTCTATTTGATAGATATGTACCAGGACCTTTAATACCTAATTGCTGTGATAAAATTTTATAAATAACAGTGTCAAATGCAGCGCTGAGGTCTAGCAGGACAAGCACACAGATGAGTCCACTGTCAGAGGCCATAAGCAGATCATTTGTAACCTTCACTAAAGCTGTTTCTGTGCTGTGATGAATTTTTAAACCTGACTGGAACTCTTCAAATAAATCGTTCCTCTGCCAGCGATCACTCCGAGAGTCATTACTCTCAGCCCACGTCACACTGTGACTGTCTGCAGAAAGGTCGCCTCCTATCAGACCACTGCAATTGCGTTCCGATCAAAATTGTGCATCTCTGGGAAACAATTTAGTCATCACAAAGTCAATATAATCACCAGGCAGCCCCTGCTTTTTTTGTTTTGTTTTCTGTAGATGCAAGGAGGTTGCTGTTTTATTTTTACTGCATTAGTTTACTCTGAATTAGGAGGTAGCTTTGTCACGCTAAGTGGGTAAATTGTTGGATGATTTTTGGTCGTTTAATATTAGTTTGCTTGATGGACATGATCTCATTTTGGTGCATGACACGAGCCTATTGTTTGTAGTATTTTTATGTAATAAAGTATCAATATTTGGTGTCCCTTTTTTATTACAATATCATCATGCAAAATATCCCAATACTGTGCTGTATTGATCCAACCACCACACGCACCCAACCCGAGGAGTCAGTCTTACAATCGTTGGAAAATAAAAAGTTCTCACAGGCCTCTGTGCAGCCCTGTGATAGGCTAATTACACCACATGATTGAATAGGTGTCTCGGTTATAGAACCTCCTTTAGGAGCAATAACTTTAATTAACTGCTTTCTGTGGGACTTTATCGGTTTCTCACATGGTTGTGGGAGAATTTGGGCCTATACTTCTTCACAGCGTCACTTCATTTAATTGAAGTTTGTGTTCATTTGTTCATGAACAGCTCTCACCACAACATTTCAATCAGCTTGAGGTCTCTGGGTCACTTTGCAACTCGTTGGTTTTTTAACAGGCTGTTCATCAAACTCTGGGTATCCTTCTTTCATCTGGACTCACTCACACTAATCCTAACACCGACAATCAAGATAAGTGGTCACACAAAGCTTTCCTAAATTGACCGAAGGATTTCCCAATTTAACTACAAGTGTGCTCACTTGAAAAGGGTTGTGGTGACAGCATCTAACCAATCACAAACATGGACGAATGTACTAAGATTACACACGCACACACACACACACACACACACACACACACACACACACACACACACACACACACACACACACACGATACAGGCTGGAAGTAACACAGCTGCTGCAGACAATCAGCAGAGTGAGTGGGTGTGAGAGGAAAGGTGCTGTAAAGCAGTTTAGTACCAGGGTGGTGTGAGATTGTGTGCGAACTTTAATAAAGTTTGGTCAGGTCAGGAAAGAAAGCTAGCAAAATAAGCTAACAGATGTATCAGTATCACAACTGTGTCATTAAGAGACAGGATAAACTGATGGATTCTACTCAAGTACTTCATTAA